AAATCAATTTGAATTTATGATTCTATTTTAAAGGTGTTTTACATGATTTTCTTTGATTCACAAACGTGACAATTAAATCTTTTAAAATAACATTTAAATGTGATATATAATATTTTGCTTTTAGTTACCTCCGTTTTCTGATGTAAAAAACAAAGCCTTCGGGGCTAGCAGAAGGCATGGTGGTTAAGGTGATGGATTCCCATGTGGCTGACTGTAGTCAAATCCCAGAGCTACCAGACTGAAAATCACGCTGGATATGTGTGCATGAGTGACCAAATCCCAGGAGGAGAATGGAAGGGAAGGGACTGTGGTGTGGCCATTTCCCCTGAAGGGTAATTACTCACTTTCCTTCTCACTGAATCTCTCTTCAGCAAGCACATATGTCGTATAGTATTTATTTATTTTAAACAAATAAATAAACAAACAAATAAGCAAAGTCTCCTGAGGTTTTTTGTTTGTTTGTTTGTTTTTTGAGTGGTTTTGCTATTGGTTGCTTGCACTTCCCAGAAAGACAGAGAGACAGACAGTAAGAAATCACCCCCTAGGGGGATGGTCACATCACAATCCCTTCTCCTCCATTCTCCTCTTGGGATCTTGAGCAAGCATGCACATGTACCCGGCATGAGTTTAAGCCACTGTGCCCGGGACTTGAAACATGGTTGACTACATGGGAGTTTAGCAACATAGCCACTATGCCAATTGCTGGTCCCTTCACAGATTTTAAAAATAACATTCATAATCTAAAAAACTAAATATAAATATGGTTAGCTCTACGTCCTGTTTAGTGTTCTGATTAATGGGGGAAGATATGAACTTAAAAGAGCAAGCCTAATATCTTGAATAAATGTGTGAATTTTGCTGACTATAAAGTTTACCTCAATAAAGTTGACTTTTTAAAAGTCTAAAATAATTGCTCAATTGCAAATTTAAAAGGAGAGTTACAAGGTGTATCTATATTTGAATAGATCAAATTATCTTAAATAATGCAATTGTCAAAAAATACCAAACATATGAATTCCTTAAGAAAAATAGAAATAACAAATTTTGACTCTCTTAAATACTTGGATACTCAGTTTTAAAATTTTGTTAATTGAATGAAGCAATAATCATGTGACCCATTTCTTTATCCATATAACAAATATTTACGAAAGTTACTATGCCAGGCACCATTTTAGGTGCTTTTAAATATAACTGACAAAAAAAAAATCATTGCTTTTTTGTAGCTTACACAGTAGTGAGAATTTTTTAAATTAAAATAGGCAAAAATTAAAATATTAACAATTAAATGAAACTGTATGTTCTGTGGGAAACAGAAAAGAAAATATAGCAGAAAAGACGATATGATGTGGATAGGTATCTATAATTTTAAATAGATTGGTCAAATTAAACTTCATTTAGAGGACTGCATTCTAACAAAAACTTAAAGGAAAAAAAAAAGGAATTACCACGTGGATATATGGAAGGAGCATTCTCCAGAAGTAGTAAAAGTTCATGAGAAAGCCCTAAGGTGGACAAGCCTGTTTAAGGAATCAAGGGCTTCACTGTGGATGAACTAGAGAAGGAGATGAGTATAGAAAATTAGTAAGTGAGTTCAGAGAAATAAGAGCCAGATGACGGCTCAGTGGTAAAACAAGATGCTCTGCAAGGCTGAGCCACATGGGGAGGCTCCAGGTTTGTGTTTGCAGATCTTCCTGAGTGTGCCAGGCATCGGCTGCCCATGCTCTGAGGCTGGCTGAGACTGGGGTGGATCTTGACGTCAGGAGCCTTTTGGAGCTATTGTCTCTCTGTTTGTCTGTCTCTATCTCTCTCACTCATGGAAAAAAATAAGTGAGTGGATTTAAAATATATCTATATCTATATATCTATATCTAAATCTATATATCTATATCTATATATAGAAAGAGGTGGATATATTATTGGGCCCTGAAGGACATCGTGAAACGTAGTTTTTCTTAACTTATTGGGAGAATTGGGGAGCCATTAGACAGTTTAGAGCAAAGGAGAGACATGATCTGACTTACAGTTTAACAGAATCAGGCTTGATTCTGTATTGAGAAGTCACTGAAGGCATAAATTGGAATCCTTGGCTACAGCAATAGTCCTAGTGAGAGATCATGGTGGCTCTGATCTGTATGGCAGTGATGGAGCTGGATAGATGTGGTCTAGTTCTAGATAAAGCATTATAAGATAGCCAGCAA